CCAATCTTACTGGAGTGAGATGGTATCTTAGGGTGGTTTTGATTTGCATTTCTCTGACTGCTAGAGATGGTGAGCATTTTTTCATGTACTTGTTGATTGGTTGTATGTCCTCCTCTGAGAAGTGTCTGTTCAGGTCCTTGTCTATTCAGGTCCTTAGAGGCCCTGGTTTCTACTCCAAGCATTGTTTAAAAAAATATATATATATATATACACACTCACACATACACACACATATATGCATATGTATGTGTTTATACAAAGTAATGTTTTATATAATATACATATAAATAATTTTATATAATATACATAGTAATATATAAATATAATAATATATAAAGTAAAATGTAAAGTAATAAATATTTTGGCTATGTTAGAAACTGAATTGCATATGTCAAGAGCATTGTAATGTTTTGAACAATAATAAAAAAAAAAGAAACTGAGTTGCTTGACAAATAGATCCATTCAAGTTTGTCACTGATCTCTTTTAACTTCTGCAGGTCTTATATATACTCAACTATGCTTCAAAATTGTTTTCTTAGGGATTGGAGGTGTAGCTCCGTGGTAGAGCACATACTAGGTACACGTGAGTCTCTGGGTTCATTATCCAGCAACATATACACATATATATAAAGCAAAAGCCCCAAACCCTCAAAACTACATTATTTACTGTGTGTGTCTGTATGCATCCTGTTTTCCTGCTGGATGAATTGATACCGCATGTAAGAATCACATGGTTTATACTATCTTTTCCCTAGCACCTTTAACTAGTATACAACAGAGGTTAGTAAAACAAAGACTGACTTGATAAGTAGTAATTCTTTCCATAAATTGAGCATTATCCCTGTGACAGATACATTGTATAAAAATAAAAAACTGATTTTATTGTCTTTTTTTTAAACAAAAGAATTTCTCCATAAAACCAGTCTAAAAATATTTTCTTTGCCTACTGCATGCCCCATGCTGTACTGAATACTGGGGATACGGTGGTGAATGGAATGGTCATAACTCTGATCCCCACAGGTTAATAGCTTAAGTTTCAATGCAGTGCTGCCTCAAAACTCTCTGATGTATGTTATTCTAAAACATAGGATTGTAAATAAGTGAGAGAAGAAATACAGTTATGTCAGAAGTTGTGAAGGAAAAATAGCAGGTGCTAGGAGTCAGGAAAGACTTCTTGGATACAATGAAAATTTTATGACTTTAGGGTTGAGTTAGGGGTTAGGTGAAGGCTGGGGGAATGTTTGAGGCAGGGAGAGCAGGCAGGGAAGAGGCCCACAGGGAAGGGGTGAAACATGGGTTATTTGAAGAACAGAAGTCCAGAAGGGCTGGAGCAGAGGGGAAAGCAGGCAGGATGAGGCTAGTTAAGGACTTGCTGCCGATAGTGCTGTGCAGAGCTCTTCATCATGCTTTTCAGGAACAGCCTCTAATCAGTTGTAGCTAACCATAGAAACTGGTATTTTTATATTATTTAATATTATTTTTATATTATTTTATATTATTTGTCTTTTTAACTGCTCTATGTTCCTTGAATTCAGAGCCAGGTGATTCTTTTTTTTAATATTTAAATTTATATATTTTATTTATTTTTTCTTGTTCTTTTTCTTAGTGCTCCCTCAACTCCTTCCTCCACTGTGCCTACTTCAGCTTTAGCAAGATCCTCCTTTTCTAAAGGACCATTTACTCACGACCACAATATACAATTTCCTTACTGAGTTGGATTTGCAGTATTTCATTTACTTATTCAGTCCTTTGTTCCCTGTTTGTCTAGCTCCAAGTGACAAGCAATTTAGGAAAATGGATGATGTTCCTTGTGGGAGCTTATGCATGTTCTAACTTAAAAAGAGGCACAGCTGAGACAAAAACAAACAAACAAACAAACAAAAACTAATCTATTTGACAATATATTACAATTTGAAAACACTGCAAATTTAAGTGGTTGCATGATGATATTTGTGTGTGGGGTTAATTATGCTAATGTTTCAAGAACAGTTCCTCTGTTTTTCCACTCAGCCCATCTGCCAGGCAGCCTACCAGAATGACTTGGGTCAAGTGTGGCGCTGGGTAAGAGAAGACAACTGCAATATCAACATTCAAGATGGCTTCAACGGAGACACCCCCCTCATTTGTGCTTGCAGACGAGGGCACGTGAAAATTGTTTCCTTCCTCTTAAAAAGGAATGCTAATGTCAACCTCAAAAACCAGGTGAGGCTGTGACATATGGTGGGAAGAATAATTGTCACCCTTCCTGTCTCTTCTAGTTGATGTCTTGTGAAGGTAAGTTTTTCATTGCTTATAGCTCCTTATTAACAATTCTTTTTTGCCTTACTTTAGAGAGACTGACACATACCAAGGACATTTTATTCGGCTAAAAAGCAAAATAAAATGTAGCTCAACCAGCAAATATATTTTGTGATTAATTATGTCTTTGTACTTCTGAAGAGAAAGAGAATGGCTCACTCAGTTGTCTGGAGAGGGCTTTTTCCTTTCTTCTTCTCTTCTTCCCCATCCTCCATTTCCCCTCCCCGTCTTTTCTCTTTTCTCCTCTTGCTCACTCTTATAGAAGTAATTGAAAAAGTTTTTGGAAAAGAAATATTTATTTTGTGATGTTATTTTATTTGTTAGATTTTTACCTACTATCTTAATGCCCTGTTCTCCAAAAGACACTATAGTATTCTTATAGAATGAAAGAATACTATCGAGAAATTTACTAAGGAGAAATAAACTCATGAAGTGACTTGAAGCTACTTGAGATCACACAGAAAATGTGCTCACAGCTCCAATGAGAGCTACCTTGGAGTCTTCAGGACCAAGGAAGAGCAGCATGTGTGTCTTATTGTCGGGATCCTTTTAGAACTTCCTCTGAACATCTAGCATCAGCATGTACTAAAGGCAACATTTAAATTATACTAAATAAATATCTACATTCATTTTTTTTTTTTGCAATAACTTTAAATGTCCTGAATCATCTCATGTGCATTCATAGCTGATAGGGACCCACTTGCCTCTTCTATATCAAATTAAAAGCTAGCTTATTGGGAGTAAGTAACTATGTGTTATCAGAAAATTGATCACTACAGGAGTTTCTTGCTTGTGCTTATCAT